CAGCCTCCCAAGTAGCTGAGACTAAAGGTACTTGCCACAATGCCCAGCTGCTTTTTGTTACAGTTGTCATTGTTGTTTAGCTGGCCCAGGCCGGGTTAGAACCTGCCAGCCTTGGTGTATGTAGCTGGCACCGTAACCACTGTGCTACAGGCACCAAGCCCAGAACAAATACTTTTAATAAAGGGATTTCTTCTGTGAAGTTTAGATTTGGTTGAGGGGTCATGCTTGGAGTTCTGGAGGGTCACATGTGGTGTTGAGGCCACAGGTTCCCCACCCCACTGGCTTAAACCTACGACAATGTCTTTTATGTTCAGAAATTCTGTGGGTCTAGAATTCAGACAGAATACATAGGCACATCTTGTCTCTGTTCCAGGATGTCAGAGGCCTTAGCTGTAAGATTGGAAAGCTGGGAGCTGGAATCATGTGAAGACTGATTCACTCACATGTCTATTGGATGATACTGGCAGTTGGCTGGGGGCCTCAGTACTTCTCCACATGGTCTCTCTACTTGGGCTACTTTGGATTTCCTCAAAGTATCATGGCTGATTCCCAGTGTCAACATCCCCCCAAAAAGGAATTAGGAGGAAGCTGCATCCTTCCAAGGAGAAAGCCTTGGAAGTCAGATAGCCTCACTTCTGCCATATCCTATTGGTTAGAATGGTCCTAGGCCCTGTCCAGATTCAAAGGGAGAATAGACCCCTCCCTGGATGAGAGGAGTATCAAAGTCCCAAAAAGCATGTGAGATAGGATAAATATTGGTATGGCCCTCTTTGGAAAATCCAGTTTTCCATACCAACCAAAGAGACAGAGGACAGGGATCAACATGAGAGAGAACCAGAGGAGAGAAAAAGCATCACTAGTTCTGGGAACTACAAATAGTTTAGAGACACAAAGACGTCTAAATGCCTGCCAATATCCATTCTCCCCTTCTTCAATAATACTTACAAATTTTAATTGGACATGATGGCTGCTCACTTCAATGACTGTATTTCCCAGCCTCTCTTGCAGCTAGGTAACATCTTAAGTTCCAGCCAAGGAGATACAAGTGAAAATATTAGTTGGAAATGCCAGAATGTCTTTTAAAGGGAGAAGGTGCCCTTTCCTCCACCCAACTTCCTGAATAGAAATGTGATTGTTGGATTCTAGAAACTGTTGTGGACCATGATAACCAGGGCCATACCCACCATAGCAGAGCAGGGAACTGGAAAGGGCCTGAATCCCTGATAACACAATTGAAGCACTCCAAGAACCTAGACTGCCAATTTCTCAAACTCTTTGTGTTCAAGAAGAATGAACTTGAAATTGTTTAAAACATTTTCTTGTTCTCTACTATGTCAGTAATACCTGACTATAATTACCTCACTCAGATTAGCTGTAGAACCAGATACACAGAAGAGTGGGAAGGGCACTGAGACAGCCAAACTGGGCAAGAAAGCTTCCATTGTCCAGCTCAGAAAGCTGGACTTTACCTTGATGGTGGTTAAAGGGAAGTGAAGGGGCATGCTATGATTAGATTCACATTTTAGATTCAGAAAGGTCACCCTGATGATGCTGGCTTAAGTCATAATTTTGCCCAAGACTTACCTTACTGCAGTGGTTCTGAAACTTTAGAGCACACCAGAATCCCCTGGAAGTCTTGTTAATATCCTGGAGATTTTGATTCAATAGGTCTGGATAGGTAGTGTCTGAGAATCTGCATTTTTTTCTCTTTTTTTTTTTCCCATGGGCTGACTCTCACTTCTTGGAGTTAAAGGTCAAAGAGGAAGGGCAGCACATCTGGCTGGCTCATACACTGTTGGATACTTTCCAGCCTAGTGGAAGCCAAGGCCTCCTCCTCAAAGCGGCAGTGTCCCTCCTCAGTCAACTTCCAGAGGCAGGAGGGAGGCGGTGTTTGGCCCCATTGTACATGCTGACCAGCACTTTCACAAGGTTGTTGTGGGACACAGAGAATGTGATGGATGGTATTTCGCTGAAAAAAGGGGAAGTGTTGTCTCTGAGTTGCTGGGGGAAGAGGCAAACTGCTTCTGAGGGGGAGACTGCTCACTGGAAGAAAAGGGCAGCAATTCCACCCCTGTGGCCTCTGAGCCATTGACATCTTCCTCCTTCTGAGGTGGCTGAGGGGAGGGGAGGGCTAGATCCTCCCTCTTACTAGATTCTGGGACCTCCGGCTTTCCGGGAGGGAAACTCCATGTTAGGGTTTACCCACATCCACCAATTGGGCTCAAAATCTGGACCATCTTTATTAGCAATGTTTTTTTCCTTTCTACGGGTAATTTTAGTGGATCAACTATTTGGAGTTCATATCTTGCAAGGCTCTGTTTGGCTAAGGAAATGTGTGTTGTGGTGAAGGCCAGAAAGGACCCATTCCGGGTGTCCCAGTCCAGCGATCCTGGGACTTGGCCATGGAGGCTGCCTCAGAAGTCAAGATGTTGGTGTTTGCGGTCCACCTTCAGCTAGAGGAGAGGGACCCTCATAGGGGGAGAGTCAGGAGACTCCAGAATCTGCATTTCTAACAAGCTCCTGGGTCATACTGATGCTGCTGGTCCATGCTTAGAAATTTTAATTGGACATGATGGCTGTTCACTTCAATGACTGTATTTCCCAGCCTCTCTTGCAGCTAGGTAACATCTTAAGTTCTAGCCAAGGAGATACAAGTGAAAATATTAGTTGGAAATGCCAGAATGTGTCTTTTAAAGGGAGAAGGTGCCCTTCCCTCCACCCAACTTCCTGAATACAAGATTCACATTTTCAGAATCATGCTCTACAATAAGTCCTATCAAAATTCGTAAGGGCAGAGAATGTAAGTTCAGGGGGAAGCTCCCCCGACACACACACCTGATAGGAATTAAGATCTGCCTACAGACCATGGCCTAGCACTTGCCTTGGGAGGAAGGAATCCAAGAGGGAGGAAAAGGCACTGTGTGCACGAAAATGTCCTTCAACATCTTTTTCTGCATAAGCCATAGTACCCCAGCTTTTTACCAAGTGAGTCTGACTCCCTGCCTACCTCCAAGAAACTGGAGAAGGACAAGTTCTTGTGAAGTCTTAATCTTCTCTGGTCTAACCCTGACCTATTTCCTTGGCCACAAAGATGGGGCAGTGATACGAACTTTGCAGGGAGCTGAGGCATGTGCCAGGGTCCTTACTATGCCAGAACTTGCTAAGCATACTGGTTAATAACAGTGCAACTCTCTAATTATATATAGAGGTTCTCAGGATGAGGATGGGCCTGTGAGTGTGGCTTGGACCAGGGGTGGGGCTAACAAACAAAATACTCCCCTTTGATGCCTTTGGGTAATTCCTGTGTGTCCAGGGAGGGCTTCTCATCCTTGGCATGGATTGGACAATTTTGGACCGGGTAATTCGGTGTTGTGAGGGGACTGTCCTGTGCATCATAAGATATTTAGCAGCATCCCCAGCCTCTACCAGATGCCAGTAGCACACACACATAGCTGATAGCTTGTGACAATGAAAAGTACCTCCAGATACTTTACAGGATGAAAATGATTTCTCCAGGCCTGGCATACACATAGTGATGCTTAACAAATGGCTGCTCAGAATAAAGATGTCTCCCATAGAAGATAGCCTCAGACCACCTCTCTAATAGCCAAGCAGATCCTACCCTCCCCCACCCTGTTTTTTAAGACCCTATGCAAATGCCACTTCTGTAAATATTTCCTAGATTCCTCCCACCCCAATTGTATATAATCTTCCATTCGACACTGACATCTGTTTGTATTCCTACTTGACACTTCTCATTTAGTGTCCTAAGCATTTAACCATGTGTCTCCTTTCCCCTGTATCAGAAACTGAATTCACTATTCACAAAAGTGACTTTGGAAGAATTTTAACACCTTCCCATTTTATCCGCCATGAAAAGTATACACATTTAACAATTTTATTTGTTTTCTAAGTTGTTTTTTTTTTT